GGGGGTCTGCCTGCTTCCTCTCCCCCTCTGCATACCCCTCAGACAGATTTGCAATTACTTTTGAAAACGCAAACTGGATAATCTTTATCTCCAGGGACTGGTGGCAATATTGCAAATACAAGAGAGAACAAACACATAAATTACAGTCAGCCTGCTGACTTCACTCTCAATGGCATTCTTAATTTAGAAGAACAAATACAGCTGAAAATAAAATGGTCAGACCTTGATTATTTATTCCAAAATAAGAAGAATCTACGAAACAAATCCACAGAGTCTAACAAAAAAACCAAAATGGACTGATGCGAGCTTTGTTGCTTTTCACCTGACCTTAGAGCCTGAAGAGGGAAAAAAACAGCCTTTAAAATGTAGTCTCAAACAGCAGAAAGAAAGGGAACTGGAGAAGCAATCCCCCAGTGACTGAGAAGTGCTATAGTAATAAAATGTATACCTAGTCCAGTGAGTCCGAGGCCTGCGGAGGCTAAGATATCCAGGCTGGGACATGCCAGGCCGGCAGGGCAGGATGCTGGGGACGGACTGGTTGCTATGGTAACCCCACTGCTTTCAAGTCCGAGGAGACATTTCCTTGCTTCATACATATTTAAGGCATTTCGCTCAACACTTTTCACAATCACAGACTATGAAAACACATAATGGGAAAGAAAAAAAAGTGACATGCAAGTCGTCTACAATGAATTTGGGAGGTGGGTGAGAAATGAAAACGGTAATAAGAACTCCGCACTGGGAATTTATTACTGCTGCTTTAAAATCGACTGCAAATGCTAATCGACCACTTATTACATTTTGTCTTTTTGGTAAAACTGTAAGTCCTTAGTTACCATTTATCAGGTGTGTCCTGTGTTCCAAGCACTGTGATGGAAGCTGCACACATTCCAATTCCCACCAAAACCTTACGATGGGGTGGAAATTATTATTCATGTTCAGTGAGGACAGGGACTCACCCGACATCATGGCACAGCTGTGCAGGGCGGCCAGAGGATCGGAACTCGGTCCCTCTCTGGAGCCAATTCTCCTTCACATCCTCCTGTCTCTACATTAAAGCTGTCCCCCCTTTCTCTCATTTTTACACAACAAATCAAAGCTGTCTCCCTACAGTATACATACTGCTTAGTAACAGTCACTTACATTTGACATTTATGGTCTAGTAGTTAACTAATAGACCGTCAGGTACCACTATTGCTCACTGATGACATATCTGTGGCAAAGCTTATAGTAAAATAAACTAAACAATAAATCTTTTTTCTCAATGGACTCATCTAGAAAATTGGAAAGTGAAACTAACGGGGGAAAGCCTCCGACAAACAATGAAGAAAACTGGTGGCTGAGAAAGCAGTTAAAGCAGGAGTGAGCAGGGGGCCAGCGGAGCCTAATTAAATGGCCCTGGGATGCTGGGAGGCTTCAGAGCTCTCGCTCACAGTGTCTTCCCCCCCCTTCCACTCGTTTCTTACTGAACCCCAGGAATTCTTCTGTCTGTCCATCTTATATGCACAAGTCCTCAGAAGTCTGTTCTATCTTTATCTTTCAGTCCTGGTATCTACAGTGACTCTGGTCAACTCCGATTAGTCAAGCACGCAGGAAGCGCCACAGTACAGAAAATTGGTGTTCTCTTTCACTTTAAACCCATTCTATCAAGGTCACTTAGATCAATGCTACCTTTTCATCTGAAGTTTTCCTTTGAAGAAAGGCATGGTGGTATGCCTTAAGCTGAACATGGAATACCACGTTATTTACATATAGAGAAAAGTGTATCCAATATATGTTACACATATACCATTATGCATATATGATAAGACTTACACAGAACGCATGACTGTTGGTGTTTCACCTACTATAGTAAAAACATACACAGATGTTACCACTGAGTACATGTTATTATGCAACTTGGTTTTTTATTCAACACCATTCTTACCCTTCAGCTTCTGGTACAAAGGTTTCTTCAGAGTGTAACTAGAAGGAGAGTTGCTGAGGGTAAAGTCTCAGTATTTTTAGTGTGATCACATGGTCTCAAATTGCTCTTCAAAGTGGTTGTGACAATTTACACAACGTTGTTAGAGGAACACCTGTTTCCTCACTTTCTGACTAGAACTTAATATCATCAGAGTTATCCCATTAAATTTCTACTTTATATGGAATTACTGAAATTTTGCAACATCTTAAAGGAGAGTTTCCAAGAAGGCTGAACTGGGTATCATTACTAAAAATATTTATTATTAAAGAGAATGGGGCATCTATTCTTTAAATCTCCAGGGCTAGCACAGTGGCTCACAAATATTTTTTGTAATTGTATCGAGATATGCACATAATATTTAGCTATATCAACTACCTGGTAGCTTATTAGTGCTTAAAGTTACCAGCTTGCAAATTAACTTAAAAAGGTCTTCTCTTTCCTTCTTACATATTTATAGGAAAATAATGATCACTAAAAATGGACTCCCAAAACCACCACACACATAAAGAAAGTGGTGGTCAGTAATGAGCGTGGTTACAAATTTATACTTGCATAAAATAACTAAATATAATATATAATGATATATATTATATAGGATCAGTGCCATGAATATGCAAATACACATTTATATGCAAATAAAACAGGACGTGATATGACACATGGTTCTCTAGATCCAGACTCTGAACCAACCTTGCTCGGCTGTTTGGGCTTTGGTTTAATACTAACGAAGACATCCAGCTGTTCCATCAGCTGAGCAATAAACTGGGGGTCGACTTCAATTTCTTCCTTCATATCGAACATCAACACAAGAGGAAGACAACCCTAGGGAATGTCACAACAGAAAGTGTAGGAAGTTAAAAAGTTACTCATTTAAACATCTAATAATTTAACACGCCTACGAATCATGTAATATTTTGCAGATCTAAAGAGTAAAGTGGGTGAAAAAGGTGAAGGGATTAAACAAAAACAAAACTCACAGACACAGCAGTCTGGTGACTACCAGGGAGAAAGGGGATGGGGGAGGCCGAGGAGGGTGAAGGGGGAACACATGGCGATGGACGAGGGCCTGACTTGGGGTGGGGACATCAATACAGCATACAGATGATGTGCTACAGACCTGTGCACCCGAAACCCATAAACAATAAAGAGTAAACCAAAATATTAAAGCTAAGGTATATGGCTTCCCATACTTCAGGGGGCTGAAAGTAACGCTGAGAGGCAGAATCTACTTCTTGGGTGACAGAACTGTCCTAAGTTCCTGTTTTTGGCCTGAATTTTGGCTCATTCCCCACCTGGAAAAGCCCTCTATTCTCTGATCTGAGCTGTGTCAGTGATGCCAGAAACCGGACTCTCAGCCATATCAGGGGTCCTCGTCTTGTGCCCGTGTTCCAAGGACGACAGTGTGGGCTTTTTAGGGTCTCCTGAATGAAATCTGAACAGGTATCAGCATTTAAAGATCTCCACTCTGGGGCCTGGCTCTGTCTGCGCCATCCCCCTGCTCCCGGCCAGACAGCCTCCCGACCATCTTTAAACTGTGCCCGGGCACCTTAACCCATCAGAAGGCTTCTTCTCCAGCCCAAAGCCTGCTTCCCTTCTGATGCAGCTCAAACCTGACTTCCTCCCTCAAGTTAATTGCCACTTCTTTCAACTACCTCACTTCTTAGCCCTGCAGGGCTTGATACTTGTTTTTTCCCTGACGCTTTCCTCCTGGCCCCTGACCTCCCGAGTGAAGGAACCACGGCACATACGGTTTGGTTTCTGAGGCCCTGGGTACGCAGTGCTAGCCTAGTGACTGACGGGCTTCTTACTGTGTACCCGGAGAAGGCATCATGAAACATATGAGAATTAAAGTGAAATTGCTACATTTCAATTCTCTTGTGGATAGAAGTGATTTTCGTAAGGACATGGCTATAAAAAAAAAGGTGATGGTATTTAAAATATAGGTTAAACCCTTCTAATTTATTCCTCCTCCTTCCTTTTAATTTTGTGCAATAATATGTCTCATTGCACACCTATATTTTTGGCGGGTATGGCCAAAGTATGAATATAAATTCATAACTGAAGAATGCTTGAAAAATTTCACTGAACTCAATACCTAAAGAATTTGAAAAGCAGAAAAAATAAAATATGAAGGATAAGCAATAATAACCTTTGGATATAAATACGCTATGTGATCAGTAGTATATTGAAAATAGCCTGATAAAGTACATTTGCCTAAAAAAATATCATTCAGAACAAAATAAATTTCCTAAAATTATGTATTATAATCCTCAATGATTATAACAAGTTCTCGTCTGTCAGAGAAATGGAGTCAACCATACAAAACTGGATTTTCTGAAAGTTTCTCAAAAACGAATTCTGCAAGTTAGTAACAGAAAGGCCATACCTGAGCTTAATGATTCAAATGTCACTAAAGGTCAAGTTCTGAACAGAAGGACACAATGGTGTTTTTAATAAAAACATCTGAGTCCACATTATGTCAGCCCATTTAGTAACAATATACCAAGCTACACACTGGGTTTTTAAACAAATATAGGAAGGACTGAAATACTGCAAACTAGACATTGGAAGCAGTACTGAATTATATAACTGCTATTTTTCTTGAATGCATGACACTGAAATGCACTGCATTTTTAAAATTATATCAGAGATTTCTGAAACGTTCAAATGTTTCATGCTACCAAAATTTATGTCCTTGATGATATTTAAAATGTATTTTTACTTTTCTGTTTAAATAGAAGACTTTCTTTGTCAAAATGAAAACTACAAACTAATATCTGTAATATGACAGTAATCACCTTCCACAAAATAGTCACTTATTTCATTTGAACCTCTTCTGTGTTTAGTCTGTTTTAAAAAGTAAAAGTCCTGCAAGGAAATTTCTCACCTATGTAATGAAACTACCTACCTTACTCTTTTATTTTCTTTTACCAAGAAACTTTCTTTTTTATCCAGGCTTCCAAAGTGCTTTCATAAATACATTATTAAGGTGTGTCAGCAATATACACTGTGCCCAAAGAGGTAAAAAAAAAATTGTATAACACTAATTTCACTAAACCTACCATGAGATATTGCCTTGCAAGACAGACAGACTCAATGGTGCCCTGGAGGTAGACGGTGGATTTCTTTTGTGGATTACTGGGATCAGGAAAGTGGATCTGAGCACCTGTTCTCTGCATGATATGTTTGATGTTGCTTCCATTTCGACCCATCATAAAGAGATGATGCTGAGCTGCGATATCTAGTTGTGTGCTCACAGGAATAGCAGATGCCAAGCTCCCGGCAAGATGTTCCAACAGCATGGCAGTTCCTTCCTAGGCAAAAAGGATGGGAGAGAAGTGCTCGTATAAAATAACTGTCCACATACAGGGGAAGGTTCTAGCGCACTTTTTTAAAAATTGATTTTTAGAGAGAGAAGGAGAGGGAGAGATAGAAACATCGATGTGAGAGCAAAACACGAGGCTGCCTCCAGCACGCCCCCTCCTGGGGATCAAGCCAGCAACCCAGGCACGTGCCCTGACCAGGACTCGAACGGGCAACCTTTGGGTGCACGGGCCGATGCCCCATCCACCTGAGACACACCGACCAGGGCTCTAGTGCACTTCCAACAGCTACAGAAAAATACAACTCATTCTACAAACCAGAATGAGGTACGAGGGGGAAAAAATCTAGAAAACAAACTAGTCGAAAATCCTTTAAAAATAAAAGTTGAAAAATCTGTCCATTTAGATGCTCGGACTTATCTCAGTCACTTGCCTTCACAGCACTCGTGTTATTCTGAGACCCTCGTACTATGACCGTAGCACCATACATTCGGGAACGCTGTTTAAACGACACTGAGATGTTGTACGTCTGCGATATGTGCTGGATGGAGGGGGAATTAGGGTCAGGAACTGGCTGAAGGATTCCTGCGATCGGTAGCTCAAACATCAGCACCAAAGGAAGCAGCTCCTAGAAAGAAATCAGGAGAACCCAAAGCAGACGTTACATTAGCATCATTTAGAAGTATGTATAATTCACTCATCCTATTCTGAAGATGGCATTTTAAAACATAAATTCTTTTGTTACAGACATAAGCTTCGGTAGACTACATCAAGCTTCTTAAATGACAAGCGCCTTTTATGAAACCTGCAGGTCTATGACTTTAACTGCCTGTGGCATGTTCCCTGGGGCTCTGATTTCAAAACCGTCAGAGAAACTGAGTCAGGTAAAATTCAGAACGTTTCCAAGAAACTTCTTTAATACATTCAACCAACTTTTGCCACTATATCCTACATACAGAACACATGATCTTATTATAAACTGATACATTATGATATTTTTAATACTCTATAATGAAAACGCTGCTGACAATGATTTATGGTATTAAAGTAATAGTTACCCGAATTCTAACTCGGGCAGACTCTACTCCTGCCGGTTGTCCTGCTATAGAAACCTGCAAAGATAAGGAAATACAGAGTCAGATTTAATTTAATTGAACCCATGTCTGCTTTTCCAGTTATCTACATCCTTGCTACTCACAGTGTCCTCCAGGAAAAAACAGCATCGGTATTATCTGGGAGCTTGTTAAAAATGAAGGACCTCAGGCACCAACCCAGACCTGCTTAAGCATAATTTGCATTTTAATGAGCTCCTTGGGTAATGTGTGTCAATTGATCTATATCACCCCCTGGACTTACCTGAAACCTCACAGCCCCCGAGAGGTCATCCTGCCTCCTTTATAATTTCCCCTGTTCCCTGAATTTTCTCCCATTTGTTCAAACTCCTGGCAGACTAGATGAGCATCAATAGGCAATGATACTGCTGCACTAGGTTCTCAAGACGCTGAACGACTTCCGTGCTAGCTGGCAAAAACCCACTGCTTTACCACCCACCCCCAGCCCTTTCCTGGGACCCCTGGACTTTCCCAGGACCCATGAGCTAGAAAATAAATCTTGTATCAGGGTAAGTGTGTGGGGCCCCAGGACACTGCTCTCAGAACACATGCTTATGCCGCACTAGCTGTCAAATCTCTTGAAAACTGCCCTTGGTTTTTACCATGGCTTTCAATCTGGTTCCCTACATATGTGTCTCACTGTCACATTAGTCCCCATTAATTCATCTTTGTGGCCGACAGTTTCTAATATCATGATTAGCTTAGAAGACAGAAAACTTCTAAATAACACAAATAATACCTGTTCTTCAAGTACTTAAAATGCTTTCATGTGGACTGGTGAGTTCCATTTGTTTCCAAACACAAGAACTAGGAAAAATATGCCCTGGCAGTGTTTCTCAGCGGTTAGAGTGTCAGCCAGAGCACCAAAGGGTTGCAGGTTCGATTCCCCATCAAGGGCACATACCTGGGTTGCAGGTTTGACCCTCAGCCCTGGTCAGGATGCATATGGGAGGCAACCAATGGATGTGTCTCTCTCACATCAATGTTTCTCTCTCTCCCCCTCCCTTCCCTTCCTCCTTTCCACTCTCTCTTGAAAATCAATGGTAAAAATATCCTTGGGTGAAGATTAATTTAAAAAAACCCAAACACACAAAAGAGAGAGCTAGGGAAAATGTGTATGAACTAGAGAGACATGATTTAGAAGCACAAATTGGCAGTTACAGAATAGTCACGGGGCTGTGAAGTGCAGCACAGGGCGCATAGTCAGTAATACTGTAGTAACTATGCATGGGGTCCGGTGGGCACTAGATTTACTGGGGTGATCACTTTGTATGTTGTATAAGTGTCTAATCAAGGACTTGTGCACCTGAAACTAATATAATAGTGTATATCAACTGTAATTTACAAACAAAAAATATTTTTTTAAAAAGAGGAAGACATAATTCAGTCATGAGCTGCCTGGCAGAAGGTGATGTGCCGCCTGGAGGCCACGCATGGGACGCCGCAGACGAATCGCAGCGATGGATGGGAGCCTGGGCGAGGCAAGCCTCGGGGCCTTTCTTAATTCACGTGCTCTCTGAGCGCTTCCTTAGGGACTTCAGTGTATGTTGCCATCACTTCCTCCCCTCTCTTCTACCAACCACTTAGAGATCAAGAGTTTAAGGCCTACCTACAATTCATCCCTTCAAAAAGCACAGAGCACTTTCACCTCCTTGCCCACGGTCACACCATCCACACTACCTGCCAGCTCCGTGGTTATCTCTTTGCTCTCATCTCCAAAAAAAGATGTGCTTATGGAAAATTAAGGCTGCAAAGTTTGCTGCATAAAGACTCATGAGAAAGACAAGGCACCTGGTTGCTTTTTTCTGCTTGGTTATTCCTGTTGGAATCTGGAAAGTGGATGTGGCATCCCGTTTCTTCCATCACCTTTTTAATGTTGTTGCCGCCTTTGCCGATTACGTGGGAATGTTCTGTGTGCGAAACATCCATCTTCAGGGTGACCCGATTGCTCTATGTGCAAACAACATATTATTTCTTGATGCATGAAAAAGGAACAACTCCCCAAAACATTCCTACCCAAAGGGATAATAGTAACAAAAAGTGAGCCATGGCAGAGCACACAGATTTCTTAACAAGACCATCTTCATCTATAAATGTTTATTTTCTATCTATTCCTCTTTGGCTGTAAAAAAAGAAATTCTTATTTTAAAGCAAATTTGTCAGAAGAAATAGAAAGATATATTTTTTACCAAGGTAATTTTTTAGAAAGTAGCCTTTAAATAAAATCAGCTACAATTATAACTAACTAACTCATCTTTTTCTTTAAAGGATGTTATTCATGAAACATTTATTTCAAGTGACTAAAAACAGGTGAAAACACAATTACAAGACTGTCTATATATAGAGAGAGTGTCCCAAAATATGTAAACATACACTTTGATAATTATAAAGGCAATGTTTATTAAAATACATTTCATTTTCAAAACTGAGCTATAAGCTGTTCAAGTGTGCATACACTTCGGGGGGACACCCTGTGTGTCTGTATCATAGTAGGACTATAGAACTAAGATGACAGGAAACTAGAAATAAAAATAAATATCAAAACCAAATAAAGAAGTATTCACAAGCATTTCTGTGACTTCTCGATTATTGTATGTCAAACTTTACAAAGTAGACCTATTCTTCTCTGGGGGAAGAAGGCTGAGGAAGAGCTCACAAAGCACAGATCTCTAACAGTAAATGGCTTAAGAAAACAACACGAAGTGTGAGATTAGTTGTATTGAAGCCAAATGTAAAATTCTAAGACACAGTCAGTAATTATGGTCATATTGGTACCCATGTATTTAATTTTGGGAAACGTAGTGTTATAAAATTATAAAGACTGACATGAGATCTTTTCTCATTTACAAGATTGATACTGAAATTCTTCAGTCCTCAGGAAGCAAAATTAAAAAGTCAAAAGACAACCAGATGTCAAAAATATATCTTCTGAATTCTTAAATTTTAAACATATCTATTAAATGCTTTGGTTTTTAAACTTAGCTCTTTTAGTTTAACCTTTGAAATACAGGAAGATATTCTTTGGAGAACACTCTAGAACAGTTAATAATCATAAGGTAAATAATTATTTGTTTAAAAATAAAAACAAATAAGAACAAGCAAAGAAAAGAAAGGAAGAGATCAGAAACCATTTCAGTGAAATACCAGGTAGCAAAACACAGTGAGTGGTTAAGAACCAAACAGCCTGGATTTAAATCCCATCTCCCCACTTATCAGCTATTGGATCCTAGTTAAATTCCCTAAAATCTCTGTGCTAAGGTATGAGGATTAAAAACCTAATATTTTTAAAGTGCTTAGCAAAGTGCATATAGTGATTTAAAGTGTTTATTAAAGTTAAATACTCACAAATGAGTACACATTTAAAAATATTTAAACATCCCTATAATCTGCATACATATACTTGCAGATAAAGAATGTACGAAAGAAAGTGTGAAGTTTCATGCCACACACACAGAGCCATACAGAAGATCATTTTGATTTTCTACAGGCATCAGAAAGGCAAATATGCTAATTTGTACAACCTTTGTTACTTGTCCTATGCAAATCAGGATCAATGTCTAATTCTGAAGATGGCATATACATACATACATACATATGTATGTACATATATATGCATTTACACACATACATATATGTGTGGAAGTGTATATACGCACATACAGATATAATACCATTCAATTACCCAGCGAGAAAGAACCTATTCAGATCTTAAACAGAGCTTTACACCCATTGTAGAATCGCACGTGCTTATTTTAAAACCCACCATTACTTTCTCCTGGTTTTTCTTCTCCAAATGGTTCTTTCATTACAGCATGAAGTAGCCCTTGCAGAGACAAGGTTCTGACATCTGAGTGTCCTTAACATTCACTTACTTTTGTGTCTAAGACAGACATGATCATTTCCTTGGCTTCCTTAACATCTTCTTTCTTTCCAGAAACCTTAATATGGGGATCTATAAGAAATAAAAAACAAACGGCTCATGTGAAACCCCCACACTCTCTGTTTTAAAACTGATGTTACATTATAAGAGATTCCACGATCAATTCAATATTTGTCATTCTGAGTGTTATCACTGTAATAAAGACAAGAGTGTAAAAAATACCTAAACTGTGTTTATCCATGGCTCTTTTCTTAAAATTGGTTAAACCATTTAAGTTTAGACTTAATTGAAACGTAAGTATACCATACAACTATATTTTAAATAAGTGAGGAGTCTACAAATTCATTTATTAACTGATCTCTGGCCACACTCCCGGACCTGTTCTAACACTTTAAGTGCATTAATTCCTTTAATCTATACCAGCGCTTTCTTTGCGAGGTGGTTTACACAGAAAACTACTGTTAATAGAAAAATAGTTTATCTCCATTCAAGAATATTTAATATCTATTCAGAATTAGTACAAAGTGACTAATTGTTTATTAGTAAAATAAACAAAGTAGTTTATTTTGTAAATTAGTAAAATAGTAAAAGTTCTATTGTTTACTACAGCCATGGAATGTTATATAGGAAGGCATTCATTCATTCAGCATGTATTTTCTGAACCTCTACTCTGTACCCGGGCATTATTCTGGGGGCTGAGGGATTTATCAGGGGAAAAAAAAGACCCCTGTCCAGAGTTTACAGTCTTGTGCAGGAAGACAAAAATAAATCAAATGAATAAATTATCTAGTATGTTAGAGCATAACTATTGTGGGGGGGAAGAGATAAGAGGATCAGGGGGACCAGCTCTGGTAGGAGGGTAGGGGCATTCGCCTCACTGAGAAAGTAAGATCTGAGAAAAGGCTTCAAGGGGATGAGGCAGCTGGCCAAGCTAGAATCTTCCAGAGGAGGAAGGCGCAGGCCAACGCTCCAGGGTGGGGATGCGCCTCCAGCTCACTCTTAGTCAGACTCTCTAGTCTCCCCAGCAATCCAGGTGTTCTCCTGCCTCACAGGTGAGCCCGATGGAGACCAAGGCTGTTCTAGGATAAGCCAAAAGTCTGATACCACGAGCTTAGCAATGAAGCTGAACAACAGGTAATCCATCACCCTCATCACAATCATAACTATGCCAATCCCACTGACTGCTAAGCCCTTCCTACCCTGTGCTTCATCTCAGGTAGGGGACAGCATCAGAAAATGTTCGCTGAGCATCTTTCACAATTAACAAGCAATTCTGCTCGACTCCTTCTAAACCATCAATTCTCTAGGATAAGAAATTAGAGTCACCCAGTG